GGCCATCTACCCCACAGACAGGTGGGCGTACACATAAACGCTAATAAATGCTCCACGTTTTGTGTTTTAGAAAAGAAATTACGTCGGGCAGCTCTGAGATCCTTACCTATAATTTCTACCACAGCATTTCAAATGTATATGCAGATCGATGGATTCCTCAAGGGCGCCCGTATAACTCCATAGAGTTATTTCAACTAAAATTGATAGTTAAAGCGGTTCCCTTTTTTAATTTCTAAAACTAAAACTAAATTTTCACAACCAAAAGCACTATGATGAAATAAAAAGCTATCAAACTATAATGTAACATCCTGATGCAATTTATGTTTGTCTTATCATGCACAAGCGATCTATAGCACGATATTATTGTGACGTAGAGAAAAAATAGATAATACTTCTATGCAAATTTCTTCCTTTGGTGACATAATAATGAGCAAGACACAGACATTGAACCATCAACGAACCCTGTCACCTATTACCGAAAATTTTTCAAATTAAAATTAATGGGAAACAAAATGTTTAAGATATTCGTTTCAAGTTTCAAATCCATATGAATAGTATTTGTTCAAATTGTAGTGTAAATCTTGGCAATTATTACATCAGTATCTGTACCCGATTTCATTTCATATATTCTGATGGAATGTCGCCAATCATCTTCATTTTATTCGTTCCATTTGCCTATCGATTAAACTAATGCATGTAACATTTAATATTTATGATCTATTAAACGATAATAAAAGCAGGAGAAATCTATTTCAGGTTACTGATCTGTTTATATCGAGTCTTTCATACATGTTTCTTAGAATTAGTGCTGGGAGACCAGATCTCTTCATTTAATTTTTGAAAAAAATTTTGTATAAAAGTATTTGCGATTAAACAATAATAGCACTTCTAAAATGGTATAATTTGCTATTGATTCGTAATAATCATTAGGTATGATTATAGTCTAATAGTCAACAAAATTGGTCTGCTACCTTGGAGCTCATGTATTTTTCAGACTGACAGGGGCGATATCGTTAGAAACTGTATAATAGTTAAAGATCACAAGAATTCAACTTGTTAATTAAGCGATAGAGATAAAGGTGCTTTGATAATGTATGCACAAGATTAGTATCGCTTTAATGTTTTAATGTTCAAAATATTGCCCCGTCAAAGACTCAGAATGTACGCTGAAGTATTTTTCTCCATACGTGATATTTTCAGTTACTACCATCACTGGTAGGTGGCATCGCAACGATTTGTGTCTAGACAATAGTCCGACCAGGATTAGTTTGTGTTTCAACTCTTTATTTACTCAACAGTGTCCCACACATTCAATCTCAATCTGAATAGATATAAATATACAGGGTATCCCGAAATTGGATGATAATCCTGCTACTGTAGATAGGTCACAGTATGGCCTACAAGATGGTAAAATGTTGGTTTATTAAAAGTCGCTTATGAGACTTTAAGCGTTTTATTTTTTTAACAAATATAATATATGTAATATATATTCAGTAAATCGCATGTCATTTCTACAAATTCAACTTTTTTGAATGAGGTTTGTTTTTAAACACTCAAGTGAGGTGAGCTAATTTGTCGAAAAAGTTGGCCAACTATTTGCCAATTTTTAAATGGTATTGGTATTCGCCCTCTGATGTTTTTTTTTTTGTTTTTCGTTTGATTGCAGTTATAATGTGGGAGGGTCAGCTTTAGTAGATATCACAAAATAAGAATAATTTATAACTTGGGTACAAAAAAAAACAGAAATGGACAGGATTGACGTTAAATGATAACTTACATTCAAAACATCAATGTCGTGAACACCATTGACTGTTATGCATGACCTACATTTTGTCATAAAACATTCAATTCTGTTACTGTGGCCAGCGAGCTTGGTATCTACACAAATTCCCTAAAGCAACTAATATTAAATTTAGTCGATTGAGATCCAACGACCAGTCTGATCCACCTTTGTGAATGTTGGATTTTTGTAATTGAAGTGGTCTCGATATGACCGAGTGCGATCTGCCGGAGTATTACTGAGTATCAGAATGTTGCAGCAGACCTCAATCAGAATATGTTGATTGACAAGCTCAAATGAATGCTGGAAGAAGCAGATTTGATACCTTGTTCTTATGCTTTGTAATTTTTAAAAGTTAGTAGTTGTTTATTGGCTCTTGTTATTTGTATCTTGAGTTTTATAGTTCTTCTATTCGTCATTGTCAGTCAGAGCGGTCCATCGGACCTTCGCTCTTTGTTAAAGTATCGTCGGTCAGTAGGTCTGCCAGGTCTGGTTGCCCAGATAGCAGACGGTTAAAGGGATGCCTTTTATTGTTAACTGGTATTCGCTTATTTTAAATCAATCCAAAAATTAATTTAGGAATTAGTGTGTGGCAAAAATCGTAATTTTGGTTGGATCTAGAATTGCATGATTTGATTTTGATCACAGTTCGAGCCGCGGTCTTGTGTGCTTGTGGATTTGCTCGCCTGTGAAGTCTACTGATTCACGCAACAGAGGGTTGCTGTGCAATTTCGCTTGACTATAGCGTAACTGCGCCTGATGTTTGATGTAGTTCCTTACGTAATGGATGTCGAGGTCTCTGTGAAAGGTACCGCTGGAGACATACCATGGTGCGTTAGTGATGGTTCGCAAGGTTCTGTTCTGCAAAACCTGTAGATTACGCATATGCGTTTTGGCAAGAAAACACCATGCTGCACATGCGTAAGCGATTGCTGGTCTGATAACTATCTTGTATAACCGAACTTTGTTAACCAAACTTAATTTTGAGCTTCTACATAGTAAAGGGTAGAGTTCCCGAAACGTAATTTGGAATTTAGTTTTTAACGCTTCAGTGTGATTCTGCTAGGTCATCCCCCTGTCAAGAGTGAAACCGAGATACTTAGCAGTATTTCCCCATGGTATGCGATCTCCATTCACTGAGACCTCAGGCGGGCCGTCGCTACGTTTTTTAGTACAATAGATAGCCTGCGTTTTCAAGTAATTAATTTTGATTAGCTACCGATCTGCCCATTCCAATACCTCATCCACCGCACACGGTACGCGACTGGACCACCAGTGCAGTGTCATCAGCATATAGATAGACTTCACAGTCGCTAGGGCAAGGGACATCATGCCTGAAAAGTGAGTAAAGGATTGGCCCTAGAACCGAACCCTGAGGGACGCAGGCTCTGATGGGCCATACTGTCGACAAAAAAATATTAATTTTGATCCGAAATTTCCTACCTTCAAGGAATGATTTCAAAAGTTTTAAGAGCCAAAATGTAAATCCCTTTTGAATTAGTTTATAGAGAAGACCCTTGTGCCACACCTTGTCAAATGCCTTCGATCCAGAAGCAAGATGCCAGTACTTTCGTTAAGGGTGAAGCCCCTGGTTACTCGCTCCACAAGCCTAACCGCATGTAACTCTGTACTATCCAAATTGCACGTCAAGAATCACATGGTGATCTGACGAGAAATTCGCAAGGTGACGTAGAATCACCTTTTCATCGAGCTTAGACGGAGGAGACAGTAGGCTGATGGGACGATAGTCCTGGGGAAATATCGAACCCACCTTCTTTGGAATCATAACTTCCGCAGTCTTCCACGTCGACGGAAAGTACTGGTTCCTTAGCATATCATTGATAATAGCCACGAGATAAGTCAAGGACTTCCGTGAAAGCAGCTTCAGCGCACCAGGCGCTTTACGCACTTTGAGGTCTTTAATATGACCTTCAAGCTCTGCTGGTGTGCAATGCGTGATCTCGAGAGAAGCCGCTGATGTGCTGTGCAACTCTTCAGCTGAAGAATCTTCCAGAAAAGAATCTTCTGAGTAAGAATCACTAATGGCGGTGCCAGGACTGACGCCGTTGGCCCTAAAATATCTCCTGACGGATCTTACAATTTGTTGCTAATCGTCGAGATCACTATCAAGGTCATAGTTGGGAGAGAACTGTTTTTCCATAGCATCAGCGAAAACCTCGACCTTGTCCTCTGTCCTGAAGACTATGCACTGTGGATGTGCAGGAGTTGTTCTCGCTTTCCGTTTCTGAGCGACTTCGCCACTTTCCAGAGAGAAGTACTTGAGTCAAGCATCCCCGCCAGAAAGTCGTTCCATTGCTCATTGCGGATTTCATGGAGAGCATTTCTTACTTCATGAACAAGATTCGTGGCTGTGCGAATGTCATCAGGATGAAGTTTTATAGTTATTTTCGCGTTGAGTTCTTGTTAGTTGTCTAGTTTGTGTGAATTCTCTAGGCATTTTGAGCAATCACAAAAAGGCTTATCAATAGGCTACACGAAATTTAACATTTAACTGACACCTTGAATGTACAAAAACTAAATGCCTCTTTACACCAAACAATACACGCAGCCACCACAAAAACTTAACAGAAATCCTGACTATTTTATCATTTGTTGTTCATGGCAAGGTAAATCGAAATGTCAAAAATTTTTGAATACTAATAAACATACGTAGGTGACCTTTTCTGTCACTCAGTATAACTGCAATAAAACGAAAAAAATAGCAGAGGGCGAATAGCAATAATACCATTTGAAAATTGCCAATAGTTGGCCAAATTTTTCGACAAATTGCCACAGTGATCGTACTTGATACTCACTCTATAAGGTGTCAAAGTCAGAGGTGAGAAGGAGTTCTAATAAAAACTCAGACTCTGGCATGACTCTTATATAGGTTTTTCGTTACCTCTGTTAAAAATAATACTAGACGAGATAAGATGCTTAATTCTGAGTGTTCTAAAACAAACCTGGTTAAAACAAGTTGATATTTGTAGAAACACCACTAGATTAACTGAATATAGGCCAGTTTTTCAAAATAAAAATTGAATGCTGAACATGTCCAAAACTAAATTTTACTACCTAGTAGGCCATGACAGGTCAGGACCTATCTAAATTCGTAGGATTATCCTTCAATTTCGGGACACCCTGTGTATTACAAAAGTTGCGTCTGCTGGAAATCAATGGTTCTAACATGACATCTACCATCTTTCGTCACTTGTTTCAGGTTCAAAGCTCCGTAGAAGACCTAAAAAGAATAGGCGATCTAAACACAGAGTATCCACTGTCCCAACTTACTATCTGTCTAGGCTTTTTCTTCGTTTACTTTCTAGAGGAAATATCCCACTGGTTTCTCTCCAAGGTACCTAAGGATTGTGAGCCGGCCATCACCAAGAAAGTAAACAACTTCACGAAAGCTTCAGTATCTCCTTTAGACACATCTGAAACAGCTTCTAATGCTTTTATGATTGAAGATTCTTATAAAAAGGTTGAGAAACAATACGAAAATGAGACAGAAAAAGAAGACGAAGTCAGTAAAGAAATGGTAACACTCGAAGAAGAGAATCGTAAAAATACTGTATATGACACGCTTAGTCTGAACTCAGAGGCAGCCAAGCAGAGAGCAGAAGAGTTGGATGTTCCCAAAGAATTGATAGAAGAGAACGATGAAAAAGTGGAGAAAGAAATAACGGACAAACAACATATGATGAGAGGTGTACTGATCGTAGTAGCCTTATGTTTCCACGCAGTCTTCGAAGGTCTAGCTATAGGTTTACAGAAAAGCACTGCAGACATTTGGTTTTTGTTCACAGCTGTCTCTATTCACTCTGCAACTATTCTGTTCTGTATAAGCTTAGAGCTACTGTTAGCAAAGTCTAGAGTGAGCTTTATATATACCCAAATGATATTTCTTGCTCTAGCTAGTCCATTTGGTGTCTTGCTAGGTCTTGTCGTCACCCAGAAATACGATACAGAGACAAAATCAAAGTCCATGGCTGTTGTATTACTTGAAGGGCTATCAGCGGGTACGATTTTGTATATAACGTTTTTTGAAGTTTTGAATAGGGAGAAGGAAAGACGGGTGTACAGAGTTTACAGAGCATTTTGTATCATTGGTGGATTTTCTTTAATGGCGTTCTTGCAGTATTTGGAGGTGTATGGGTTCTACCACTCGTCATATCAGAATGCTACCATGAGTAGCAGTGCAATTATATAGTTCTTGAAGCTTCGATGTATTGTTCAATAGTAGCTCTAGTACGAGCAGCATGAAGCACCTTATCTTAAAACGCTCAGAAACAATGCTTGTATTCGTACAGGATATTTTCTGGACGTGATGCTAAACAATTCAAGAGGGGATTCTTTGGGTTCTTATAAGGTTATTTTGGCCCCAAGACGGCCCTAAAAACAGTTTTGTTATGAAGATGGAGTCTGAACAAATATTTTTTGAGTTTCAGTAATGCAAGGTTCGATCCTTCTCTTCATAGACTATTGAAATATATTAGGGTCATCTATTATTGGTCTACATCCATCAACTTCGGTATGATCGATATTATTGGTTAGGTCTGAAAGGACCTTACTCCTGGACTTCTCAATCTCTTGGTATGAACCCCTAGCAGCATCCAAACTTAGTCTAAACTACACTGAGAAATGATGTATTTGAAATTGTTTGGCAGCCTATGAAGGGAAAATTACAGCTCATCAAGAAACCTGCTGCCTGAAATTATTGCTATTGCCGTACTATGTTGACTGTAAATTGCTGTTAGCAATACAAAAAGCAATATTATGATTAGGTACGTGTAACGCAAACATTTTGTATATAAAGTGTAGATATGGTTACAATCTATTATATTTTGTTCAATATAATTATTTTTTGAAAATGGTCATCACCTTTCCAATACCCTATCATCATCGTAGATTTATTGAAATAGGTATAGTTTCTGAAATACGAAACATCTTTGCTTTTAATATACGGGGTGTAAACGTTATGGTAGTCATTATTGAAATGGGTAATAGGGGGGGTCAAAATAAGTCAAAAAGTTCATATGACCCATGGTCCAAAAGTCAATAGATTTTTGTCTGAATGGCTTTATAGTTTACAACTTTAAGTGCTTAATATCGACCACAATCATCACAATCTTACTAATTTTTATAATCTAATCTAAAACGTTTTTAAATTGGGTAATTAACAAATAAATGGCATTAAGTTTTTCTAAGTTAAGCCAAAATTTGTAGTCAGTAAGTAAGTCAGTTTCATTAAATAGAATATTTAAAACACACATGATAACAGCGCGTCGGTCATCATCACTATTATCAAACCGGCAATCGATTGCAAAGTGGTTAGTATGTTGTTTTGTTTTTGTTCGCGTATGTCGTCGCGAAAAAATGTTTAATGCGGCAGAAATAATAAATGGACAACGGACCTAGAGTAAGAAGAAACTGCGTTCGTCGTAATGAAGCTTGTGTGGAAAATGGAGGATGACATTTTGAACCCCTTGTTTAAATACAAAAAAGTACGATGTGGGTTTTAAAAAGAAAAACAATCTATGTATCAAAATTGTGTTCCCTATTTATAAGTGGATTTTTTAATACGTTCAATAAACTTTCACACACCTTGTGAAGCGCTGAAACAGTTAGTGGTAAGTCCGTTTTTTTTGTTTGCATTTTACGAGTACATTATCAAATAATGAAATAATACCTAAGAGCCAAAACTAACGAACTCCATCTTTATTTACACTGCGTTCCGTCATAATTTGCGTCGTGCATTGCGGCGTTGTCAGATTTTATTTTACTTTAAAGTCACTTTTCTCTAAAAAAATGCCGTTTTGATCCCCATGTTATATGAAACTTTTTGCTTCTTTCAACCCCCTCTATCACCCATTTAAATAATGACTATCATAACGTTTACCGTATTATCGAACATTTTCCTCATATAAAAGATGCCAAAAAGGGGTGTGGAATTATCGCAAAATTACAGCGAATATTTCCCGTTACCTAGAGAACGGGAAATTTTCAGTGAAAATTGCCCAGCGAATATCGAAAATTTCTCTATAGGTCCGTATATACAGGGTGTCCCGAAAAAAGTGTGCAATATACTACCAGCAGTTTCTAGAGCTTAAAATAGGAAGAAAAGTTTATATAAACATAGGTCGACAAACGTCCCCTAAAGGCTCTACGGTCTTTTAAAACGGCTCCCCTGAAGATGGTTTTTCCTTAATATTTCCGAAACGTGTTGGTATTCTAGCCTAGTTTTTTATGCTGGATTTAAAAATATTAACAATTTTAGACAGTTTTGTTTGGAAGCGTATGTAACAGGGACGGACTCAGGTTATTTTAGCCCCAAAATTTTTGTGTGATTCTAATTTGAAAATTTATGGTTTTCTACATAAAAAGCTACTCTTATTGAATATCGATAAATTGTGCCATTTTTGAATAAGTTCAAACTAAAAATATTGTCACATGATAGGAAATGTACTGCGAATTTAAATGAATTGTTGATTATACATAGTTAGCCATGACTGCAAACAAAAGTTGTTTTGATTTGTTATGACTTATTTTGACGTTAAGCTGACATTGTTAGCAGTGTAAAATTACTAGATTAATATCAAAATTTTTATTAAATCGATTTAAAATGCCAAGATTTACAGACAGAGAACTGACTGACATGCATTTTGTGTACGGGTTTTGCAATGGCAGTTCATTGGCAGCCGTAAGAGAATATCAAAGAAGATTTCCCAATCGCATAGTACCTGGACGTCGAATGTTTACTGATAGTCACCCGAAATTTGTCAAACCATGGAAGTTTTCAGCGCATGCAGGGCTCAGGAAGGCAACTGGGAAATCATCGTATGGATATTGCTTTAAATATGTTTGAAAATAATCCGCAAGTAAGCATACGAAATGTTTCAGAAATTATGGATATACTTGGATCAATAGTAAGAAAAATTTATGAATACCTATTTGATAGTTATCCTAAAAATAATAATTTTAGATAGGAAGAATGACAAGAATGCAAGGATTACATCCTTATCATTTTAAACGGGTGCATCATTTAACGGAGGAAGATTTTTTACCACGAATCGAGTTTTGCCAGTGGATATTAGCAAATGAAAACACTATTCCTAGAATATTATGGTCGGATGAGTCAATATTTACTAGGAATGGTGGTTTTAATTTCCATAACATGCATCACTGGTCAGATGAAAATCCAAAAGTTGTTCGCCGTACAAATTTCCAACATAGATTTTCATTGAACTTATGGGCAGGAGTAATTGGGGATCAAGTAATTGGGCCTATTGTACTTCCCAATCGCCTTAATTCAGAGGTGTATCTGAACTTTCTTCAGAATGAGCTCATGGATATAATACCATTGGATGTGCGCCAGCAGTTTCAAGAAAATATGTTTTTTCAACATGATGGCGCCCCTGCACATTTTGGACGCAATGTTCCAAATTGGTTGAATCTCAATTTTCCAGACAGGTGGGTAGGCCGAGGAGGTCCTATAGCGTGGCCGCCACGTTCATTGGATTTCTATTTTTGGGGGTCATTAAAAGACCTAGTTTACTCGACTGAAGTAAATACTCAAGGAGATTTACTTCAAGGAATCCATCAGGCTGCAAACGAAATAAGAAGAAAAAGGTTTTCCACTTTTCGGGCTACGCAATCATTAGTTCGTCGAGCGAGACTCTGTATCCAACAAAATGGGAATTTATTTGAACACTTATTGTAAAGCTGGATTTAAGTATATCCAACTGTATGTCTTCTTTTTTGAACAAATTTCAATTTCGTTCGTAGAAAAAATTTATTTCTTTTGTTTTTGCCTAAATGTTAGCTATATTGCAATAGAAATATGTATTTCTGTAATATTTACCAATTATTAAATTAGTTTTTTCGTTGCCATTGCTAATTATTCAACAATTCATTTAGATTCGCAGTACATTTCCTATCATGTGACAAATTTTTTAGTTTGATTTTATTCAAAAAGGCACAATTTATCGATATTCAATAAGAGTACCTTTTTATGTAGAAAACCCTAAATTTTCAAATTCTAAAATTGAATTTCAAAAATAGAATCACACAAAAATTTTGGGGATAAAATAACCTGAGTCCGTCCCTGTTACATACGCTTCCAAACAAAACTGTCTAAAATTGTTAATATTTTTAAATACAGCATAAAAACTAGGCTAGAATACCAAATTTTATGTTTTTATCTCAACAAGTTTCGGAAATATTAAGGAAAAACCATCTTCAGGGGAGCCCCTTTAAAAGACCGGAGTGCTCTTAGGGGACGTTTGTCGACCTATGTTTATATAAACTTTTCTTCCTATTTTAAGCTCTAGAAACCGATGGTAGAATATTGCACACTTTTTTCGGGACACCCTGTATAGTTACGATTAATGAAATGTGCATGTCATCCTTTTTAGTCGGGCTCTTTTACCAAAGTATGAAAATAAACTCATGCAATTTTCAGACAACACGCTTTCATGAAAAATTATCGGTAACTTTGATACCCTTGTGTAATTTGTTTCACTAATTGCTAGGCATTTTCAGCATTTATTAGGGAGCTTCAGGATATTTTCAAGGGCAAGTTTCTCTTCGTGATATAACGTAATGCCCAACAGTCTACAAAAATCATAACACGAAACTACTTAAAGAGTTCTTTTCATTTGATTGTATATTTCAGAATGAAGTTTGTCTGTAACGCAAAGCTTAAGCCTTCTGACTCCAACTTTCTAAATCACAGTACTTATTGTATGTATCATCGATTGCTATAACCTTGTACCTTGGAATTCACGTCCTGATATCCATCCAGATGTAGAGTAATGTAAAAATAGCGTGTGTGCGAATATTCCTGCCTTACTAAACAACAGTTGTATAAGTGCTTCCGTTGGGAGCAATTTGTTGGCTAAAGTAGTAAATTGCAAAGCAAAACAACAAGGCTCGGGTTTGTTTTATAAACGTTACCATGGATGCCACAACACAACCATTTTGACTAACGTGCAAATATGCCGTATAAAATAGTTGTATAAACTTTTAGGCAACAGTTAAAAATTTTCCCTATAAGGTGTTGTATAACTATGCTATAAGAATATTTTAAACACTTCATTTTAGAGCAAATATGTTGCAGAAAGCAAATCTGCATTCCACACAACATTAAGCCAGCATTTTTGTGTTCAGGCAACAACAATAGAGAGCTTTTATGGCTGAACGGTTCTTTTACCAAAAGCTTATACCACTGCTTTGCTAGTTGGGCCTTATCGAGTCGAATCTTGTTAATCAAACTTAATTTTGAACGTTTACATAATAATGGGTAAAGCTGTCGAAACGTAATTTAGAATTTAGTTTTTAGCGCTTCTATATGGTTCCGCCAAGTCATCCCTTTGTCCAGAATGACACCGAGATACTTAGCGGAGGATTCCCATGGTATACGAAGTCGATTCATTGAAAATTCAGACGGAACGCCGCGACGTCTTTTTGTACAGTAGATTGCCTGCGTTTTCGAATGGTTAATTTTAATTAGCCACTGATCCGCCCAATCTAATACTTCCTCCACCGCACTTTACTGCCTGTCATGGACTAGGTCACCAGTCCACGACTGAGCCACCAATGCAGTATAGTCAGCAAAGAGATAGACTTCACAGTTGCTGGGGCTAGGGACGTCATGGATGTTCAGTGAGTAAAGGATAGGTCCAAGGACCGAACCCTGAGGGACGCTGGCTGTAATAAGCCGTGTTGTCGACAGGTCAATTTTGATCGGAAATTTCCAACCTTCAAGGAAAGATTTCAGTA